GTTATAGCTTAGGATCAATTCACCTTCTTAATTAATGGGATAATTTACTTAGCTAAATTTGAGTGAAAAGAAGAAGAAATTGATTAATTTAATTCGTTTACGTTCCAATGGGGTGTGCAATACCCATAAATTTGTCATGTCGTTATTAGGTGTTTATGACATGCATATATTCCAAGCAAATTCTGCCAAATTTAAGGGACTATATAGGTATTATTGAGATAAAATTATATGTATAGTCCACTCTAAACATACTTATAAGCAGGTAACATATACTATATAAAGAAGCTTCTAGAGATAATTAAAGTGAACTCTGTATTAATTAGAGTTGCAATAACAAATACATCAAAACATTAAAGTGTTTCACCAATAAATTCATTTTTTTTATGTCCAAAACTAATCCAATGGAAGCTCTATATTATGTGGAACACCGGAAGAAGTTTTAGTATTGTTGGTACATCATGAAGCAAAATTTCTTACTGATCAGACTGTTAAATTGTTAGAGGCTTAGAAATATAAAAGTGACATTTCTAGAAATTTTTTTAACCTTTTTGTTTCTTTGATATAATAACTAAATGCCGTGTGATTTTTTTTTATATATAGAGAGAGATTGAAATGATATAAACTTTGTTATCACATTTATGATTTTAGCGGCGTCCATTTTTAAATTTCATTTATCTTGTAAATCTTGAACTTCTCTTTTTCCTTGTTATCATAGCACTTTTTAATTTTTACAAATTTATCTATCCTCGAAGAAAAATAATTCTACATTAGTGATGGATGTACAAGAAATTAGGATGACGGGAGGGAAGAGAAAGAGCACGAAAAAGACATGATAAGAGATGATTTGTCTATCATTATTATTTGAGATAATATTTTTTGTATTTTATTGGATGTAGTTAAAAAAATGAGGAGATCTAATTTTCATGAAAAAAACATTTTCCTTTCTATATTTTTTTTTGTTTTTTGTTGGATGTAGACAAAAAAAAATTGGTTTTCTTATACTTTGTTAGATCATCAAATTACATATCTATGAAATAAAATTACCTCAAAACATTTTATCCTATTATGTTTTGCTTTAATAGTATATAATATATATATATATATATATATATATATATATTCAATAGTTATTTGTTTCTGACAATTCATAAATAAATTGGAATAGTTTTTAGAAATATATTCTTTAGGATCTTCTCTGGATTTTAGTAATCCAATTACAACATAAAAAATAAAAAATAAAAAATACTATGTATAGCTTTTTATGTAACCAATCTAGTTAAGATTGCACACATTATTTATAATATAAGTTGATTAATATGTGTTATTTGAAAAATTAAAGTTCAGAAATATAACATGAACATTCTTACATATCCAAATGATACCTTTGTGTACAATATTTTTTTCCTAATTTTCACTGATTTCAAAGTACATGGATATATGTAGATACGGAAGTTATGGCTCCTGCGGTAATGTCAATGCTTTCCAAAGAAAAGAAAAAAATTAATGCAATGATAATCAGTGTCCACCGGATTCACATTGCTTTGAGCTCTTGGCACAAGCTGTAGGAAGTAAGACTATTATGCGTAAAGAGTTAAATATATATATATATAGCGATATAAACAGTAAGAGTTTACACTTATAGCTAACGTCAATCTATTTGGAATTAGGGAGTAGTGATTATTGTATTTATATATATCTCAGCTTGATAAAGGAATACTAAAATATTGATTAAATTAATTTTACATTCTAATAAAACATGTAGGATATTTTCCGTCAGCCATCAGTGAAGTGATGAATATGCCAGGTCTTACCATTAAGCAAATTCCAAGTCGTCTTCAAGTACATTATCCTTACAAAAATTAAAATGGTAAATTATGTATCATATATTTATGTTTGTTTGGTCGGGGGAAATTAATTTCCAAAAAAATAATATTTGTTATAAAGTTACTTTGCTTGGAATGATTTTTCATCGAACACTTCTAAAATCTACTTTACATACAATGACTTTAATTTTAATTTTTATCAAAATCGTTTATCAGATAAAATAATAATTTTACATCACTTCCACCAATAAATGTTTGGAAATTATTCTCGTCTTTATTCTAATTTTTTTTTATCAAAACTTCTATTGCATGCTTAGATATAGAAGTTATTTCTTGCTAATTTTATTTTATTGTAATGACTATTCGATGAAATAATACTGTTGTCCATCTTTAATTCAAAAGTTTTTAATCGTTCATTCATTAGCAACAAAAATGTTTTTTTATTAGATATGACTTGTGTCATGCGTTTATGTCACACCTAAAAAAACGATGATTTGAGATGATAATTATAAAATCCATGGTCCAACTCTCCTTTGATTTTTTTTTCTTCTTTCAGAAATGTCGTAGCAAAGATGAGAAACTTCAAGAAGAGAGAGAATATATTTGTCACGAATCCTCACGTGGTTCTCAACAAAGAAGTAGCTATGAACTTATGGGAAAATGCCTCATCTTCAAACAAATGTTCCAAATCAAATCCAAAGAGTCCCAGAGTTTCCACCAGTTAATACCAACAATATTTTTGCTAGTTCAACTCAGCAGCAGCTCCATCACCCACAACTTCAGGTTCAACCCAACTATCTCAACACATTTTTGTTCGCCCAAAATGATGTTGGTGATGGACAACAACAACGTGGCCCGTAATTTGGAACAATGGGTCCAAGAAGTCCATTTATTGGGAGCACTAATTATAGGTCTTGGCTGGCGTCTAATAGTGGGAATCATCATGATTACGGTTTTTATCATCATACTCAAAATGGTTATAGCTTAGATATCAATCCTGCCCATGTAACAACATATTCAGGTAGCGCAATGATAACTAATACAGATGTTGGAAATGTGACACTTAATGGATTTGGAGCAACAAATGCTAATTTCCAGCAAGATATTGGTGAACAAAACATGTTTGATCCAAGCAACATCGTCGCGACATCAGATGCAAATGCTATTGGGATGCATTTGTCAATTACAATTCTATGGATGATATCAACTTCCAAAATTCTACAACTCCAAGTGCTACCCTACCTAATGAACATGGCCGTAAGTTTTTGCTTCTATCTCACTTCCCTTACTAGTTCGATAGAGTTGACTTCTGAGATGGTCACTTAATTATCTCATAAAGTTACTTTCTACGTATGCAGGTGGTAGAGACACCGAGGGTCCAGATTTCAACAATAGCAAATTTCTTGATGAATAATCAACATTGTCAATAATCCAGTTCTATCGATCAGTTATAAAGTTGTTTTCTTAAGTTGAAATTGCTATCTTTCATTTTAATTTTCTAGAGTCTATTTTGTTTCGTATGACTTGGATTGAATGAACTTATGGAAAGTGAAAAGAATGTTTTTAGAGAATGTATTTGAAATACTCATTTGAACTTGAGACTGATTTAGCTCTCATAATTTCTGCCTTGCTGCAATCTTGTCTAACTTAGCTTTCCGCTTATCTTCTTTGTCTTCCGCTTCTCCAGTAATAGAGGTGTTACAAGGTGTGTAAGATTAATCCTTGTGAGTATCGCAGTCTGTATTCACTAGTTGTTTGAAGTTATTGGAGTTTTGAGAAAACTACAGGTCGTGGTTTTTTCCTCCCTTGAGCAAAGAGTTTCCATGTTAACATCTGTGTTCTTACTTTAAGCATTTACATTACTTCTTGTTATCAGTATAGTCAAGTGGTTAGAACAACATAAGACATGTCACTAAACAACAACATAGGAAAAAACAGACCCTGCTAAGTGATCGATCCGCGTGTGATAGTTGCCTTCTTAACCTTGGACTATTGCTTCCTGCTAGATTATATGAACTTGAATATGTATACAAATTAGTATTCAATGAGTTCCCAAACATTCGCGCATAAAAAATTTCCCCTGTTGTTGTGCCACCAGGACTTAGCATATGTTCTATATTTGTATAATTTCGATGATGATCATGAGATTGTTGGGATAATGGAGGCATATTATTATTGGGTATTAGTCCGTGACTCTTACATCTCGGAGTAGGAGGTCTTTGTGGTATGACTATACCAAGATTCAGGGCCTTGCCTGATGTTTTTGTAGCTTGACCGCGAGCATAGAGTGGAATCAATGTTTTTTGTGAGACTTCAGCTTTGCAAACAGGGCATTTTGGCTGTTGATTATCGATGTTCTCTGATGAAATGGTCTTAATATGTATCCATTTGTAGATACAAGGCCAACAATAGAGGTGACCACATAATGTAACAACAGGATCATGTACAAGATCCAGGCAAATGTTGCACTCGAAACCTCCAGGTGAATTTTCTTCAAGTTTATCAAGATCAATTGTGTTTCATTTTTCGTAGGAAATATCGCGTTGATCAAAGGTAGTTTCTGGTATTTGATCTTGAAAAATTTGTTCTAAGGCCATATTTGCCTCTTGGTATTGATTTATTTTGGTAATGGCAAGATGAAGAATGGTTAGAATTCAGGTTTTTAATACAATTAGAAGTGAGTATTTATAAGGACAAGAATAGTAGTTTGCAAACAATGATTCTTAAGGTTGTCACTTGTCAACATCACATTATGTTAAAGGGGCATGGCTAAAAAGAAAAGGCCCTACACATTATTAAACAACACTATATCATATTAGTCAACTCAGTCTTAATTTATGCGGTACTGTTCGATTTGATATAGCGTTTAATAAAGAAATGAAGATTTTTAAAATATGTGGTGTAAAACAAATCTTTAATATTTGTGTCATTATAAATCATGTCATTAAGAATAATAGATGAATCTAAAGCTTTTTTTTTTTTTTTTTTTTTTGTAACATCAAAATATGTTCTTTTTATTGGTTAATAACCATTTTGAATTCTAATAAAACCATTGCCTCTGAAAAGCACCAATATCACACATAAGGAACACTGGAAAAAGATTCAACTTGATAGATGGACGTCCATCCAGCAAACACGAAAACAAATAAGAACCATTACTCGTTGCCATTGACGCAATGCTAGCAAAATTTTAACATAAAAACAATTCCAGAAACATAAAGTGCACCAAAATCAACATATCCAAACTTAAAGAGTCTAAGCAAACAAAACCAAAGACTATTAACTAGGGAATAAAGCCCAGTCATTAATCAAGTACTCAAGGAAATTTCGATATGGCAATCAAAATTATGGGCTCAGCGCAATCTCCTGGCCTCCCTCTCAGACTCCAACAATGTGAGAATATCACCCTCTCTGACTGGTCCCTTGACATTTCTCATGATAAACCTGTGCTGGTCATCAAGAAACTTGACTCTAACCTGAGTCACCTGCCCCCTAGATCCAGTACGACCCATGATTTTAATCACAATTGCATGCTTGGTTACAGATTCCATTCTTCCGGTGAGAAAAATCTGCTGCTGTATGCTGCTGCTGTGTATCAGAGAATGGAGAATTTAAAGCTTTTTCAATCATCGAAATGTGATATTCTTTTTGTATCATACTGAAACACATGTGTTACATAAATTGGGACAAATGAACTATCACACACATCATAATTAAGTGATTTAATGAAGTTGAAAAATTAATATTAATGGATCATGGTTAAGTGAGAGGAGTTTTGTGCAAACACGTCTTTTATCTATCTATTTGATTTAAACAAGTATAAGTTTATCATATTAGAAATATGATTAGGACCTTATATTAGGCCCCATGATAAGAATCTTAATCTAGAAAATAACTTTTAGTCAATAAAAAGTAGCACTAGTTGCGTTCAAGGAGCTACCACTTGATGAACTTCCACAGAACCACATCCCATAAGTTCAATAGTTTTCACACTATAAGAACTAGATGTTTTTTTTCCGCGTGAATCAATGAAAATTTTATGTTATAAAACATGATTTTTTCCATTTTGATTTTATTAAACTAATTCACTAAGAAAACCCATAACAAAACATAAGTTCTCATTGAAATACTGGAAATAGTCACTTGGAAATTTATGAGTTTTAGGAAATTATGCATCAAAACTTAGGAAGACGCGGCTCATATAGAAATTTGTTGTTAAATCATAATATATACTTTTACATCTGAATATCTTTATTGATTTGGTTAAAATTATAATTAAAAAAATTACAATACAATATATATAGATTCACATAAATTTAATACTGTAGTTCAATTATTATTATTATATATTAATCTAAAATTATTATAGAAGCTTCTAAACTCTAAATTCAGATCCAACTAAGGAGTGAATATACATAATGGGGGTCTGGGGGATGGGAGAAAACATATGGACGGTGTGACAAAAAAATAAAAGAAATACTCCGTCCATTCCATTTGACTTAGTATTGTTTGACTTAATACGATGTCTAAGAGAAAAAAAAGATTTTAGAAAATTATAGGCTAAAACAATTTTTATATATTTATATAATTGTAAATCATTTCATTAATTAAGGGTAGATGGAGAATTTTAAGTTAAATTATTTTCAATTATAATAAAATGACATTTTTAAAGATGGATTATGAGAATAGAGTGCCACGTAAAATAAAACGAGAAAATACCACTTTCTCCTTCCCATTTTATATGTTACCTTTTTACTTTGCACTTACATTAAGAAATAATGTAACTTTACCCTTCAACCCTTATTTAATGTTTTCTTAAGTCAACTTTATAACTCCCTCCGTCCCATTTTATATGTCATTTCTTTCTATAAATAGTTGGACCACAATACTTGTCATTTTATAAAATTTATGTATAAATTACCATATTTTACCTATTATACCCTTGATAGAGTAGTTAATTAATCTTGAAAATATATTCATCATTTATTATAAAATTGACTTAAGAAAACATTAAATAAGAATAGAAGCAATTTGCAATCATCCTGGAGTACCTAAAGAACCACTGACAAATGGCTATACGAAAGATCATATACAATTAAATTACAAGCCATTTGCAATCATCCTTCCCCCTTATGCAGAAAAAATGAAAACGAACAAAACAAACACTCACACATTCGGCTTCTGATTTGACATTTATTTCAGAGAACTGGCTAGTCCTCAGAACACCTTAACTACTCGCTGCAGAAAAAAAAAGACGCAAAAAAGGAAAATAATATGTTAGATGTCCCATAATTAAGGAACAAGAGAATATTATAGCGAGAATGAGCATGCAGGTATAAGAACTTACGCAGGCAAGAAGCAACTTCTTTCTCAAAGTCATCATCATTATCTACATCTGTTGTCACACTATCAACATGCATCATCTTCATCTGTTGCCACACTATTGAAAATGCTCGCCACAAAAGATGAAAAATGAAATGTTACACTTCCCAAAATCAAGAATGAACATGCAAGTATAACAAGTTACACAATATTGGAAGGATTCGAATCAAACACAATGACAGCATCAAGAACTTTTGTTGAATTGGTGCAATTTGACTTACTAAAGCTATTATCCAGATTATTATCGAGTTTACTATAATGATGAGTTAAATATTGTTGTAAATCAAGGAAGAAGATGTCTTACTAAAGATCACGAGTATGGACCTCGATAGAGCTTCCATAGTTGTCTTGAATGTCCTGTTGAATTTGCTTGGCGGAATTCCCAACAGATTGTTGACAGTACTGTATATCAATAAGAGCTAGTGTGGTTATATCTGCAAAATCTCGAGGGATTGAATCCAAATACTCGCACTCTCTAAGAAAAAGTCGTTCAAGGTACGGAAAGTGATCACTACTAGCTCTCCAGTACCGAATGCCTACGGTATCCAGAAACAAGAACTTCAAGTGAGGAAACCCTTCCTCAACTACTTCCCACTCCTCGCCTATGACGGCATTGTGTGATAATTTAAGGACCTCGAGTTTGGGTAATTTACCAACAATGCTCAAATCCTTCCATGCCAAAAGGAAATCTCCTCTAAAAGTTAAACTCTTAAGGTTTTGTGGAAAAGCATCTGGAGGAGGTAAGAGTAAAGTTGGAGCAGTTCCCCCCAAATGTGTCTCTCTGCGAATTTCCTTCTGAAACCTCAGAGGTTCTTGCGGAGTAGCAGTGTTTTTTAGAAAGCAAGCAATAGGTGGATTATAAATACCAAATTCCAATTTCTCGAGCTGATATAAGTAGCGAAAATCATACAGGTCCTTGCGATTGCGGAAGTCCTGTGGGACGCCAAATACTTTCAACTTCTTTAAATTGGGAAATAGTCTAAAAAAAGACCCTGTACAATACCAAGGATTCAATTGATGGAGGCATTGCAAACTTTTCAAAACCAATCTGTTCTCTGTAGGCTCATGACTCCGCAAGTAATTCCAGCCCATACACAGCTTCCTCAATTGTGGCATCGTTAAAATTTCCGATGGTAATATGAAAGGATGAAAAGATTTAAATGGAAGGTAAAGTTTAAAAGTTTGCAGAAAGCATAGGCTTGATATCGATAGAGGAATGTCTATTATTGATGAGGGAAGAGCTTCTTTCGATACTCGATACATCTGTAAGCAAGGATTAAAACACAAAGATAGGTATCTCAAATGAATTAGAGAAAGTACTCCACTGGGAAAAACAATTGGGCATCTAGTCAAAGCAAGATCTAGTACTCTTACTAGCTTGAAAGACAATTCCAGTGTGACGCATTTGAATCTACACAACCTGATGATAGAATGAGCCTCACTGTTACGACACCAAACCAATTCTTCCTCATTATGGATACTGATCCGACTTCGACTCTTAAAGGAACACTGCATGGATTGTGCACATGAATTTTGATCACTCTTTCCTCTGATAACATTCACAAAATTCATGTTTCGAGCTTCCCTCAAACAGAGTTCACGGGTCACATCATGCATTCCACAACTTTCTATTGTTCCACGAAAACTAAAATTGTGGATGAAAATTAAGCTTCTATCTATAAGTTCATTTATACATGTTGTTGCCACCTCTTCTATGCTTTTTCCCTCTTCTTCATTCAAAAACCCCTCTACAGCCCATAACTCAACAAGTTTATTTACATAAATCTCTTCATCCTCTGCGAAAATTGCAAAATATAGAAAACATGGTTTTAGGTGAGAAGGCAAGTGATGGTAACTCAAAGCCAACACTCTCATGCATTTTGCTTCAAGATCTGTGCTTACCACCGAACTTACATTCTCCGCAACATTTTGCCACTCATCCAATGTTTTACTGATTTTGGAGAGAAGTCCAGCAATCACAGTAATTGCTAGAGGTAACCCTCCACATTTTAATGCAATTTGTTTCCCAATATTTTCAAATTCAGGAGAATAAGAACCTTCTTTTTCAAAGATCTTTTTGTGTAGTAAATTCCAACTTTCGTCAAAATTCATGAGGCGCATGTGATGAGGAGGCTTACCTGAACTAGCATATTCAGCCACTTCCACATTCCGAGTAGTCAGGAGTATTCTGCTTCCATTAATACAGTCTGGGAAACATAGTTTTATATCATCCCAAGCTTCTGTAGTCCATATGTCATCAATGACTACCAAGTATCTCCTGCCTTTCAGATGCTTTTGCAGTCGGTCCGCTAGCTGATCATCAGGTTCATCACTTGTCAAAGAAAGAAGGCCTAGGAGTACATTTCTCACACAATACTCTTGTGAAACAGTTGCTTTTGCACGAATATCAAATCGAGACATAATGTAAGGATCACTATAGAGTTTTGCAGCCAAAGTTGTTTTCCCGATACCTCCCATCCCTACGATTGAGCCAACTTCTAGTTCCCTTCCTCCTCTAGCAAGTTGATCCAGCATCATCTCAAATTCATTTTCACGGCCAACCATTATATTCTCGGGCTGCTCGACAGCATGTTCAGGTAAACTGACAAGTGAGCTAGTTTGTGGTTTTAGATCTTTCATGCTGTCCGATGTTGCCATCCACTGTTTCACGGTGGAATCAATGCATTCTAGTGCTTGTTCCAAGACGAAAAAAATCTCCCACATAGCCCTGCTTCTTTCCTCCAAATTCTGTGCTAAAAAAACATTTCTTGATTCCGAGTCAACCATATCTTCTGTTGTGTATGCTACCTCTACGATTTCAACTTCCAAGATTGTTAACCCCTCATGATCGCCCATTATATTGCAGGATTTCTCCAGAATAACTCTCAAAGATTTGAGCTTTTCATAAAACGGTTGCAAATCACATCCAGTAAGTTCCATTGATTGATGTATGGTTCTCATAAGGGAAGTAACAGCAGCATAAGCCATATATCCAAAAAAATAGAAATATCTCTCAGTATGAAAATGGACAAATTGCCACAAGTTATGTAATTTTTCAGTTTTTAAGAAAACAAAAAATGCAAAGTTCTTTCTTTTACTAGCTATTTCCATCACATTTCCAGCTAGGTCCACCAACCTTATCATCATGTAGACAAAAGCAGAGACCAAAGTTAAAAAAGAAAAAGGCAGGACTCTGACAGGAAAAAGTAGAAAAATTTGTGATAATTCATTATTAGACCCTACACATATCTATTCATGAATATAAGTATGTTTCTTACATACAAGAGATTGATGATTTTAATGAGTCAATTCCCTAAATGATCACCCAAGTTTAGGGAATTGCCTTAAAATATTATTTATGTTTCATTTAGGATCAAAATATCACTCAACTATCACTATTTTCCTCCAAATATACTTGACACTTCAAAAGTCTCACTCTCTCCCATTGGCATGACATGTCATTAAAGTCATTTTTTTAATAATAGGCTTAATAATTTATCAAACTCATTTAACTAAAATAATGATCTTATTATTTTCTAAAAATAAAATAATATATATATATATATATATATATATATATATATATTAGTTTATTAAGAAGAAATTTTCATACTTGATAATCTTTTATCATAATTATTTTTTTTATTTTTTTATGCTGTGAAGAATAATTTTTTAAAACTTACCATAATGTCATTAATTTTGAATAATTATGAGAAAATATATTCAAAAAATATTGATATATATAAATCACTTATGAATGTCAACTTACATCAATGAATCATATATTATATAATGGATCAATAATATTGAAAATCTATTAACTATTAAAAAATAATTAATTGGGTGCTTTGAAATCCATATATCTTACAATATCTTTCTTTGAAAAGAAAATAGAAAGTGAATAATATTTATATTAGAAAATAAAATTTTGATCTTTATTTATCAACATATTAATCTCATATAATATGTATATTATTGAATTAAAATAGGCAATTCAATTAATTATTACTTGTATTTCATGAATTTGGGATTATATAAGAATATATATTGGTGTTTAATTGTATGAGAAGTTAAAATATAATATAATATAGAATAAAAGAATAAAAATTTAAATTAAAAAAAGTTAAATAATAATTTTCTCTTTCTTACCAACTTTTTTGTCAACCTTACAAATTTATTTGAATATTTTTATGAAAAAAATTGCTTAAATTTTTTGAATAATTTACTTAGGAATTTTAAAAATTGCCAGGTAATAATTGCACAAAAAGTTTTTTCATTGAATTTTGTTTGGTAAAAATATATAAAGGAATTAGATTTTTTTTTAATAATCTTCATAAATTCTCATGTAATTCATATATTTGTTTTGTAGAGACATAAGTTTGATGAATTAAATAGGTCTATTATTTTTTAAAATGATGATTTAATGACATGAAATATCAACTAGAATAGAAGAAGACTTTTGAGCCATTTAGTATTTGTTTTTGGATAAAAAACATGATATTTTTCACTTTCTATTTTTTCAAAAAATATAATAAAATGGTACGCATGAATTTCAAAGTACTTGATTAATATTATTGTAACCGTTAATTGACCTTTAATATTATTGATTCATTATACAATTTATGATTAATTGATGTAAGTTAGCATTCATGAGTGATTTGTATATCAATATCTTTTTTTGAATGTACATGTTTATAAATATTCAAAATTGATGATATTATAGTACGTTGTAAAAACCTATTCTTCATAACATAAAAAAATAAAAAAGTTTAATTATGATAAAAGATTCTTAAGTATGAAAATTTATTCTTAATAAACTAATATTCTTTTTCTAAAAAAAATAATACGATAATTATTTTAGTTAAATGAGTTTGATGAATTAAATTACTCTATTATTTTAAAAAAAATCTTAATGACATGTCATGCCAATTAGGAGAGAGTGAGGCTTTTGAAGTGTCAAGTATATTTGGAGGAAAATAGTGATAGTTGAGTGATATTTTGGTCCTAAATGAAACATAAATGATATTTCAAGGCAATTCCCTCAACTTGGGTGACCATTTAGGGAATTGACTCTGATTTTAATTCCATTGAAAGCAACTTCGTAGAATTTTCCAAATCAAAGAGGGAGAAATATTAAGATCCAAGTAGGAATTTCTCTATTCCTAGTTCGATTCAATTAACCAAGCATAAATATCTCTTAATATACATGAGAAGTTTAGACTCTAAAAGTCAAATCAACAAAATATTGATGGGCTAACACATGAAAAACTACTGAGAAAATCGCCTAATTCCTGTAAATTGGTCCTTAAATGCCCAAAATGGACTCTAAAAATTATCAGACCATACGTATTGCTCCCCCAACTCCCTACTGAGAGTTCTGTAAAGATTTCGATTAGAAATCGTCCGTAAGTCATATCACCAATATATTAATGACTAACACACACGAAAAAAATAAGAAAATTGTATAATTTCTTTAAATTGGCCCCTAAATGCCTAAAATGGACTCTAAAAGTTGTGAGACTGTACGTACTGCTCCCTCGACTCCCTACAGAGGGTTCCGTAAATGTGTAGCAAAAAAATCGTTTGAAAGTCATATCACCAAATATTAATGGGCTAACACACACAAAACACTGAGAAAGTCGCCTAATTCCTGTAAATGCCCAAAATGAACTCTAAAATTGTGATACTATACGTACTGCTCCACTAACTCCCTATGGAGGGTCCCGTAAAGATTTTACAGAGAAATTATTCGGAAGACATATTACAAAATATTCATGGCTAATACAGACGAACTGAGAAGATCACCTATTTCCTATAAATTAGCCCCTGAATGCCCAAAATGGACTCTAAAAAGTGTGAGACTAACTCCCTACGAAGGGTTCCATATAAGTTGCACAAAAGAAATCGTCTGAAAACCATATCACCAAAATATTTATGGGTTAACACACACGAAAAACTAAGAAAATCGCCTAATTCTTTTAAATTGGACCCTTAATCCCTTTACGAGATTAATTAGAGATGCGCGCGCGCGCGTGCACACACACATATATATAAAGAAGAAGCTAGTTGTAGGGCTTGATTGCCATAAAATACTTAGACGATGTGGGTGACGCACATAGTGAATCTCATGAATTGACTCGTGGATCATTGTGATATTGGGCCATGAAACTTAGTCTGAGGGAAAGATTGTTGGGTGTGAGATTGAATTTCCACATTTGAGAAGCTATATATAAGGTGTAGGATCTCTTAAGGGAAAATTTCATATATGACAAACGTATTTAATGAAATAAAGCTCTATAGGTATAGTTTAGTAATTACATTCAATGGGTATAGTTTAGTTTGCTATGAAGCATTAATTTTGTATATTTTCTTTTTAAAAAATAATTTATACAATATTTTTTTTTTTAATAAATGGATACATGAGCGCTAACTTCAGTAATAAAAAATTTACATAATCCCATGATTCAAGCTAATCGTCCAAAATCAAATATTTTTCCAAAAAAAAGTTCTATAGCAATAGAAACACCATAACAACTGGGTTCCTCAAACGACTGAAGCATACGATTAATCAATATTCTTGTATATTCAACACTAGGTAAGCGTTTCTTTCAAGGAAACTTCATGTTTTGAACGGCAAGAAAGTATACAATTGATTTTTATAGTATATAATTGAAATTTTGGAAAACGGATTATTTTTGTTTTTTACATTCTAATGGTTCGCAATAATTTAATTTTGTTTATACAAGATTAGATAAATTTTATATTAACAATTCAATTCTAATTTTTTGTTTGAAAAATTGAATGACACAATTTGTATATATGAAGTGTATATGATTCGACAATAATGGTGTGCTTTAATTTGATAATTTTTGTTGTTGTTGTTGTAATTTTACTGTATATATAAGTTATACGATTTGTATATTGTTTAATTGATAATTGTAACATCCGACAATTTAAAATGAATATGAAGAAGCTTGAAATTTGGAAATAGTCATTTTTTTGGAAAAATTTAAAATCTGGAAATTTGGCAGTCCAGAATCTGGAAAATTTGGCTAAGTTCAAAAATCTGGAAATTTGGCTAAGTGTGGAAATCAGTGAGTTTTTGGCCAACTTTGAGCAGTCGTAACTCCTAGCTCAGGATGAGTTAGGAGTAGTTTCAGTTATGGTTTCGAAACTTGTGGAATGATCTTTCCAACACCACCGAGTTTGCTCGATTCCGAGTTCGTATGAGCGAGTTATGCCCTTTGAAAGTTGGGGCAGATGGCAAGGAGTCCGTCCGGAAATTTAAGGGCATTTTAGTCTTTTCACAAATAATTTCTTTTGAGCTTATATTGTTGTATTAGGCTGATCTTTGGATCATTTTGTCCCATTTTGAAAGAGAAAGAGTTAGGGTTCAAGAGAAGAAGAAGAGAAGAAGGAGAAGAAGAAGAGAAGAAAGAGGAGATCAACAAGATTTGTCAAGATCATTGTGGATTTTCATCGGGGGTGATCCCTATCAAGGTATGTGAGTCTTTAGTGTGGGTTTATCCTTTCCCCCCACATACCAACCTCGTTTTTATGATTTGAGAAGAGATTGGATTTGTTGTTGAAGTTGTTGAAATTGTTAATTGTTGTTGATGTTGTTAGTTGTGTTGTTGAAGTTATTGTTGGTTGTGGGACAGGATTGGGCTGTGTATTTGAGTTGTGATCTATTGTATGTTGAGAGATTGATGATCCTTAGTGTTGGTTGGTTCATACCCCCACACACCAACTCGTTTTTAATTCCAAGAGAAGATTTATTGGTTGTTGAAGTTGTAGTGGTGTTGTGTTGAAGTTCTTGCTGATTTAGTACAGATTTCTGGCTGTGATTTTTGAGTTGAATCTATTGTATAATAAGGGTCTTTATGATTCTAAGTGTTGCTGCTGAAACCTTGAGGTTGAGAGGGTTTAGAATTGGAAAGAAACAAGGGGAAAAAGTCGGATTTTTTGGAAAAAAAGGGGTTGGGCTG